CTCTCGGGAGTCTGGGCACACATGGACATGTGCTCGGCGTGTTTTAAGCCACCGGGTCCGGGACGCGAACCGCGGTCGACTACGTGGGAGTCCAGCGACATAGCCATTACGCTAACTGCTGGTTCCCTGTTTTTGTTTTTGATTTTTTTTTTTTTTTTGCCATAGGGCATGTGTGTTCATCAGGAAGACAGAGAGAAACAGAGAGAAAATGAGAAATCATCCCTTGGGGGAAGGCTACATTACAATCCCTTCTCCTCTGCTCTCCTCTCAGGATTTTGGGCATACACGCACACATGCCCAGAGTGTCTGGGGCTTGAACCACGGTTGGCCATATCCAGCACCTTAACCATCACACCACCTGCTGGCTCCCCTAGTCAGTTCTTAAAGGGTCTCCTGGGTGGCCACTTACAGAGCCACACATTTTTTACCCCCCTGGGAAGCGGCCTATAGCTGGAACCAAAGGTGGAAGGATCACACTGATTCTGGCAAGACAGCAGCTTCATCCCTAGCTCAGAGTTATCAGAGAGCCAGCACCACAGTGCCCTGAGTAAGGACCGCACAAGGTCCCAGCGGGACCCCGCACAGTTGGTAATAGTTTGAATCTCGGCCTTGGCAGCTTGAAAAACATGTATGGTGTGTATGCGTGCATTCCAAAAATCCCAACGGGAATGAAGAAACGGAGGGGAAAAGAACTGTGGTGTGACCAGGACCCACTGAGGAGTTCATTCTCTCCTTCTAAAGCACATGTGCCCTTCCGGGGGGTGGGGGGGGACACCGGAAATTGAGAATTACTACCTTGTCCAAATAATTATTGACTGAGGGTGACAGGAGTGGGGGGCAGGAAAAATTTCTTTAACTTTTTGTACAAGATCACTTAAAAAAAATCCCTTTGGCGTCAGTGGGTGTGCTGGATTCCCACACAGCAGATCATGGTCTGAAGCCTGGACTTTGCAGCTTGAAAATCACGACGGATCGGTGGTTAAGGTGGCTGGACTCCCACATGGCCTACCGTGGGTCATGTCTCAGACCCAGTGGCTTGAAAACCACACCAGGTGCATGTGTGTGTGTGCTGAAAATCCCAAGAGGAGAACAGAGAAGGAATTGTGGCATGGCCATTCCCCCAGGGGGTGATTTCTCCCTTTCCCTCGCTCTCTCTCCACTCTGGTGGACACACGTGCCCTACAGCAAAGACGACAACAATAAAAACACACAACAGATAAATAAATGTGTAAAAAATGAAGACAAAAAAACCTATGAGTTTGCGAACTAATGGACTCTATGCTAAAATTTCACATAGACAAAGCACTCAAGTTGTAAACCACTTGATAGAAAAAAGGAGCACACACAGCCACTGGCTCAGGAAGCTCTGGGTTCCAATGCCGTCACACCACTCACAGAGCTGTGGTGCTGGGCGGACTGCATTCTATTTCCTCCCAGGACCAGGGGAATAACACCCAACTCACAGGGTTACCCATAAAGATGGAATCAGGAATGTAAAGCACTCAGGATCGAGTCAATAAATGTTCAATCTATGAAAAAATAAATTAATTTCTAGTTACAAGTAGTTCCTAGAGACTCATATATAAACATAAGGCCAAAGATACATCTTGTATAGCAGGTCCCAACTGCTGGTTTTGACAGATAAGTAAAATTTCCCAAAATAATATAGAGATTAGTAAGTTTGGTCTCTCTTTTTTTTTTTATTCCCCACTAAATACATTAAAATAACAACAAAACAATCAGCTAGAATAAACATCGTTTTATAAAATGACATTTTATCACCAAAACATGAGCACTACACAATTTCATAATAAATCAACTCCATACATTTAACACTCATGAAAAATCACTTCCCGGGGCCAGCAGGTGACGTGGTGGTTAAAGACACTGGACTCCCACATAGCTGACCGTGGTTCGAGTCCTGAACCTGGTGGCTTGCCTTCTCACTTTCCCTCTCTCTCTTTCTCTGTCTCTCTCTGATCAAACTGGAAAATAATAAAATTAAATAAAATATTTTAAAAAAAAAAAAAGAAAAATCACTTCCCTATTCTGATTCTTAGACCACCAGT